GAGAGAGAGAGAGAGAGAGAGAGAGAGAGAGAGAGAGAGAGAGAGAGAGAGAGAGAGAGAGAGAGAGAGAGAGAGAGAAACAGACAGAGCAGACGACAAGCACCGATGCACGCCAAGCACAACACGGGAAGAAACAAAGAGAGAGAGAGAGAGAGAGAGAGAGACATGAAACAAAAATGAGACGCCATCAGCGAGTGTTGCTGTGCGCCACAGTGTAGCCGTGGCGGGGTCCACTTGTTTTAATAATAGAAAAAAAAAGAACAATGCAAAAGGGTGGATATGGAGATAATGAGGGCTTTACTGTTGATTTTATGCCTTGATAATAACATGAGGATGATGTCCTCCTTCTGAATGAGGATGGGGTACATCATTCTTTTCTTTTTTTTTTTTTTTAGAGAAACACCTGCGGAATTGCTAGGGATGCTGGTAAGAGCAGACACCCCTATCATTCAACAGGGACTCCATCTATTGGTGGGGAGCGGCACCTGCTGGAAAACGGGTCCAGCGTCCCCAATTTTACAAATGAATGTTTGTACAGACGGTCAGAACTTATGAACAGTTATCAGATTATGCTTCACCATGGGTAGCTGAGATCCATTCTACAGTATTGATGCAGCAATATACAAAATGACACAGCCAAACCGTTGGTTTAACGTGCAGCCAAGAAAAGTTAACTGCTTGTGAGCAGCAGATCCCCAGGTAGCCCCTGTAGGCAATAGAGTCATCCGGGCCCGCAGCTGCCGTTGTTCATCGTAGGCGCATCTCAGTCTCTGCAGACATGAACACATGTGAACCCCTCTTGACCATCCAAAGCTGTACATCTGTCGTCGTAGTCCCTGTCATCCCTGCCCGGTATCCCTCTTATTCCTTTGCAGCTGGTAATCCCCAGTACTCCTGTTATCCTCTGCGACAAGAGAATGTGGATTGGGGAGAAGGGGGAGGGAGGAGGGAGAGGGGAATGGGAAGGGCGGGGGGCACTTCCTAGCATGTCCGATGTTGGAATTAGTTTGGAAGGGATGGAAGTAACACAAAGTTAGTTGGGAGGTATGGGACACAAAAGTCACCCAGCGGTCGTCTTTGCCATGCGGGCTCTGCTGCTCTCCAGGGTTTCCAGTGAATGTGCATCCCATCATCCAACTCAGAATAGATGTGGTTGGGGTCCTGCCAGATTTCGAGGTAAGAGTCACGGAGGGCTTGTCTGGCCGCGGGCTCCTTCTCATCGAGGTAGTGTCGTTGCATTTCCTTCCAGGCTTCGTGGGTCCGAGCTCTAATTACCTCATCTATCGCCTGTTGTGCCTGCTGCAGGCCAAAGTGGTGGTCCTTTCGCTCAAAGGAGCACCTAGCTCTCCAGGCCAGCATCAGCACTTGCAGCCTCATGTAAGCAAAAAGGTTAGTAGCGAAGGGGGTCCAACGCTCCATCAGGTGCTGGTTTCTGTTGAGCAGAAGAAGACCAGCGTCCATGGGATGCGGGTGCCGGCCAGGAGGTGAAACGCTGCGTCCCACCACCTCCATATCTGAGCGACCATCGGGCACGCCAACAGGCAATGTTCCAACGTTGCTCTAGCCGGCTGCGTGGACCTACCACAGTAAGAGCAGATGGGAGATAGCAGGCCTTTCTGCTGCAGGTCTGTTCTAGACACGAGCCAATCCGGTGTGGGGAGACAGCGGTGCAAGATCTGCCATTGCAGTGACCTAAGGTTCGTAGGCAAGATTTGAGAGTATGCTCCCCACGACAGGTCATGTAAGAGGCTCGCGTCCACAGGTGAGTCATGCTCCCATCTTTGTTGCACGGTGTGGTCAATCGGCAGGTCTGGTCGGGACACTTTGTATCCTCCTCTGACTGTGTAATCCCACAAATGCATGGACTTTCGGTCAGGCCATTCCCAGTCGTCAGGGTCAAATGGGAGCGTGACCACTGGTGATGTAGGCTCGTATGCGTAGTAGCCATTATCTCGGTCTCCCAGAAGCGAGCCCCCGGCTTGGCAGGTTCGTAGGCTTCCATTGCACACCTCCCTCTGTCGTTCGTCAATATTCTATAGACAGTGGGCGGAAAAGGAAGGTCAGCATATCTGACGACCCAGTCGTGCTGCTGTATCGTGGGCCCTGCAGTGAGAGTAGCTTGCCAGGCCAGGGGCAAAGCCTCTCTCAGCTGGTCCAATTTATCATCCACTTTCTTCACATATCTCAGTCTGGCCCGGAGATGTTGTGGTGTTGCCCAGTTGTTCGTTTTAGGATCCCACAGGTCCCCAACAGTAAAAAACCCATTTCATTCCCAGGTCAACCAGTGTGAGTTGGTAGTGAGCGAAAAGGGCTTGCCTGTATGATCCAGGATGTGGGGGTTGCCGAAGAGCGGTTGCCTCCACACCGTGTGCCATTGGTTTTGGGGTAGCTTTTGCATAGGACCCCGTTTCCTCCAGAGTTTGATCACAAAGGGCCACAAGGGATCATTCGGGATGTCTCGATGGACCGCTTGTGCTGGGGCAGGTGTTGCATGTACATGCTGGTGAGGGCTCGGAATCGTCCAGTGTCCATTAGTCAGCCACTGGAGCGGGTGCACTCCCTTCGCGCCCGACGACTGCGGAGCCAGGTTAGCTATTTGTATGCGGGCCAGAGGCCCCCATGGGATGTCGTTCCCCATCAACAGTCTGACCAGCACTTTGAAGATCAAGGCTTCGCTTTCCCTTTCAGGATCAAGAATACCAAGTCCCCCTTTGAGTCTTGGTTGGGTGAGGACGTCCCAGCCTACTCTGTGTATGCAGGTTTGGGAACTCGTTGTGTTTTTCCACACGTAAGTGGTGAGAGCTCGTCTGAGCCGGGCGTGTTGTTGTTTCGTTAATGGCCATACTGCCAGCTTATACCATATTGCTGCAAGGATGGCATTGTTGATTGCTAAGGCCCGGCCTACAAGCGAGGTTTGAAGACCTTCCCATTTTGCGAGGCGATCTATTGCCAGGTTTACCAGTGCGTCCCCGTGGTCCGGCGGAGGGCCCAGTGTCGTTAGCCTGACGCCAGAATCCTGATGGCTTCCTCTTTTGCTTGCCATTTAACTGCCGGTTGCAGCGGAGGGGGCTGGTCTTGGGGGCACAACCACCAGCCTTCCGTTTTGGAGCCCCAGTTAACTTCCATATCGGCTGCCAACGAGAACTGGTGTATAACATGCGTGAGGGCCCGAATGTTGTCAGCGTCTGCACGTATGAGAACGGTGAGGTCGTCTGCAAACAGCGGCGTCATTGGAACAAGGTGCTCCGGGAGTTTAGGGATGGGCACCTTGCTAATCTGCGGGTGGGCCCTAATCAGCGATGCGAGAGCTTCCATTACAATAACAAAGAGCAGCGGCGCAATGGGGTCTCCTTGACGCACCGATCTCTGCAATGTAATGGGGGGCGAAAGATGGTCGTTGAGCATAATGTTCGTGGTGGCGGACTTATGGAGGAGGCGAATCCAGTGGCAGAATGAGGGTCCGAAGTTCATTTTGGCCAAACACATGTCCAAGAAGTCCCAGTTAACGTGGTCATACGCCTTCTCGAAGTCTATGAATAGTACTGCCGCCGGAACTCTTCGTTGTCTGGCATACTTAATGGTCTCATTGACCAGGAGGATATTATCTTGGATGTTGCGATTAGGCATAAATCCAGTCTCGTCCGGATGAATCAACATGTTCATCAAGGGCAGCAGGCGATTGGTCAGTGCCTTAGCAACCATTTTGTAGGGGACAGGAAGGAGGGTGATGGGTCTATAATTCCTTATATCCTCCTTATCCCCTTTTTTATATAGTAGTGTTGTAACTCCCTGGCCAAACACACCCCCAAAGGAGCCCCAATATAGCTCATAAGATCGTCCAGGAGTAAGTCCCAGAAGCGCACCTAGAATTCTTCAGGGAAGGAGTCAATACCAGGTGTTTTCTCATCTCCCATTCCTTTGAGGGCCTCCCAAATTTCAGTAGAGGAGATCGGCGCTTCCAGGAGATGTTTCTGTTCGGGTATGAGGCGGGGCTGGACAGCTTGTAGATCTTCTCTAGCGTGCAGAACCTCGGCCGGGTCCTTATCCGGGGCCTAGGACTTGAACAGGTGCTGATAGTACTGGGAGGCATAGCCAGCTATCGCATATGCATTAGAGGCCACCTGTGCTCCTTCACGGAGGGGGTGTTTGAGTCTTGGGACCATGGCAGCCCGGGTTCTGGCTTTGGCTTTACGAAAGAAGGACTTTGCCGTTGTACCATCAGTGTTTTTTTTTTTAATTCTAGCCTGAATCCTCCATGCTTGGGTTTGGCTTTGTATGTATGCCTGAAGGTGATCTCTTGCTGCTTGCAGCCGATCGAATGAGGGTTGATGTAGCGGGTCTGCCATCTGCGTGTCATCCTATTCCTCCAGATCCCGCATGAGTTTGTCAAGAGTGGCTTTACGATCCCTTGCATACTGAATAGAGAATTTTTTGGCCCTATCTCTCAGTTGGGCTATGCCTTCATTGAACCACGCTACCCTATCCCCGAATTCCGGTTTCTGGGTCTGCCAGTAGAGCCAGAAGTCATTGACCAAGTCTTTAAATTTGGGAAGGGATAGCAGTGAGGCATTAAATTTGTAGAGCCCTGGTCCCCTCTTGATGTGGGTGTGGAAGGAAAGTCCCAGCGTTATCATTCTGTGGTCAAAGGACTTACAAGGACTGATAGTAGTTATCTCGGCAGTGGTGACGAGGCCAAGTAAGTCCTTAGAGACGAGCATGAGGTCTATGCGGGAATTGGCCAGACCACGATCACCCCTGGAGGACAAACACGTGTAGGCCCTCTGTGTCGGATGTAGCAATCTATAAGCATCCTCCAGACCCCTATCCGCCATCAGTTGCCTGAGCATAAGGATGTCTGGCCCTAGCTGCAGCAGCGGTGCTGCTAGCGGGTCCTGTCGTTGCGAGGTCGACCTGCGATCCATCGCTAGATCAAGGGTGGTGTTGAAGTCCCCTACCATTATGATCGGGGCGTCATCCGGGAGGTTCTAGAGAAGGGTAAGCCAGAGGTCCACCCTGTGCACCGGGTCATTGGGGGCATAAATATTAACGAGATAAAACTCCTCCTCTTCGTACGCCACCCTTAAACATACCCACCTACCCTGCAGATGGTCGTGTTGTGCAGATACAGGTTTGAGTCTAGAAGAGGGAGAGATCCAGATCGCTACTCCAGCTGACGCCCTGTCTGTCGCCGGGGCCTGAAAGGAGGCGTAGGGTCAGATGGTTTTTGCTTTTTCCACATGCGGCGGGGTGTCTTGAAGGTGCGTCTCCTGGACACACATCGCATCTGGCCACCTTCCGGTGTCCGGACACTTGAACATTGTCCATATGGCCTGTTTTTTCTCCTGCGTCGCTTGTATGAGTCCGTTAACATTGAGTGAGCGTATGTCTATGTCAGCTTGAGCCAGTTTAGTTGCCCAATGTGGCGA